TCCGCTGGCAACATTTTCTGGCTATCATGATCTTCTAGCAAGTGCGTGGAAAAAGGAGCACGTCACTCACTGGTTTGCTGCTCTTGTTGTGACGGTTATCTGAGTCTAATAGAACTTGAACCTCAGAGCATTCCGGACGTTGTAAACGACTGGACACACTGCTTTAATACTTTGATATAAGACTTGCCACAGAAATATTATAACCGGGTTTGGCATAATCATATTCATTCGAATGTGAAGCAACAATGGGCCATTTCGTTGTTTCCTGTCGATGATGATGAGTGACAGACGAGACAAAGGTGGTCAAGACTAAGGTTGTTGACCAGAACTAATGTTAGCATACCACTGGAATGCTGACCGTTGCTTGTACGACTAAAGACGCAGTCAGTTTCATTACTTGACTGATAGTGTCTGAAAACTCTGGCCAAAAATTTATCTAATCAAAACCAGAATCAGCTATCGTATGCAAACATTTTAAGTAAAAGCTCCCCAACGTTGTTCATGTCTTCCTCGACGACGAATTTTTTAGGATTGAAAAACTGTCATTTTCACGCTTTAAACCTAGCCTTTGGCAAAGGAACAAAATCATTGGAATGATCTGTAGCTGCTGCCCACATCAACCGGTAAAAGAACGAAGAACTTTAAAAATAAATAGATACAAATTATTATTAACCAGCAAGATTGATTGGAAATTTATTATACAGCTATGAGACACCAATACAAGTGAAAGCATGTACTCGTCGTTTGCATAAATACAATTATTTCTACAGCGTTGCACAGAAACGGCTTCTTAGAGAGCAAAAGAGAAGACCATTCGTTGTTCGGTCACTCGTGAGGTTTTGCACCGACATGTATGAACTCTATGCCAATTAGAAAATCCTCGGCGTGCATCTTTGGCTCCAGATTCAGCGAACCAATGTCGTACGTTCCCTTGGTCAGGGGTATTATAGGCAGCATTAGTTTCCATCGCCGTCGACGCTATAAGCAGAATATTATTCCAGATGAAATGACGGATTTCTTGTACTTGGCTGCAGCACTGGTGTACGACCGTCATCGACAAAGCCCTGAGCATGCTTGGAACGGTGAAAACGAACGAACCGTTTTCCGACACTTGTTTGATCGCGAACATATTCTTCCATTGCATACCTGAGACAAAGTTAGATCACTCAATGCTTAATCAACTTCAATGTGAAGCTAGACTTCGACATTCTGTTTGTGTCTTCTTCCTGCTATTCTTGGGCTTCTTGTTTGAAAGCTTGTCATTAAGCCTGTATTGTTTTTTCCCCAGGAGAGTTTCACGTGCTCGTTCGTTAGTTCTGGACGCTGCAACAAACACTGACACAAAGTAAGGCTTGTCATTCAGGCATGAAAATTTCAACAAGCTTGACCTACCTAATATTGGTGCACAGCATCTGATTTTTCAGACAGAGGAGTCACAGCTGTGACTCTTTTGGCACGTGTTGCGAAAGCTTCCAGAAAGTCAGGCAAAAATGACTTCTATTTGTGAAACCGATCACCGGCCCCCGGAGAGGTCAAGAATAGCCTTGGGTAAGTGTCTCAAAGGACTCTGCTCCAGAGTCAGGTTATATGCAGCCACTCTACAGACGCTGGCAGATGCTCAGGAATGCTGGAAATACTGCCTGGCGCTGCTGCTTCTAATGTCCGAAAAGGATAAGTGATAATCGAAAATGACTAATATAAAGGCCTTTGGAAACTATCGAAGAATTAGTATGAAAGCAACAGGAATGCATACCAAATGACAGGTGACTCCTCCAAGTTCAGGTTTCATGGCCAATCAGTTTAGCTTTATAAACGGTTGGTCGACCACTCATAGCACTTCCGGTTTAATATGATACCTCGAAACATACTGAGTAAAGGCAGCAAAGGCATTCATACAATGTTGCTATTGATCGAATACGAAGGCAGACAGTCTGGTGGAGTATAGGAAAGAAGCTAAATACAGATGGGGAACATCGGGGTTCAGCACTGAGCTCATTTTTGGTGTCAACGGCCAAAGACAGGATAATTATTGATATGCAGGAAGCAGCGCAGCACTGTGTGCTTTATGCAGATGACGTGGCACTGATGTCGTAGACTGGAGACGACGATGCTGTAGAGGCAAAATCAAAGGCGTACAGATAAATCTCTGGGAAAAACCTCATTCGACTTAGTCAAGGCAAGTCTAAATACACGCAGGCCATTTCATTCTGGAGAACAAAAGGTGAGGCAATGAATCAGCTAGTATGCTACCTGAAACCAAGGCATTTGAATAAACTAGATCGCTTCTTCATGACAGGACAGAAATCGACAGTAAAATAGGAGATTAGTCGGAAAAACGTGACTCAAATGGAGAGAAGTAAACGGCTTACTGTACAATAAGAAGATCCTCATCAAACTGATGGCAAAGCTTAGAGAACGATAGCATGTTGCAGTCGTCGAAATGGCAATGCTAACGTGACACGAGCAACGTTTGAACTCCGTAGAAACGCCAATACTTAGATGCGAGTGGCTACAGCATGAAGTACCACATTCAGGGTACCCATGCCTTCATAATAGGTAATTCATGTGCAATACTAATTTCATAAAAACTTATCAAAAACAGGCTTTATTGAATTATCATCATGAAAGTAAAATCTGACGAATACGTCGTAAATGTGGTCGAAAATAAAGGAAATGTCAGAGAAACGATGCTGCAATAACATAAAAGACGATATGAAACTGCGAGGAATGATCGAAGGAGGCAGTTGACTCGAACAGTGGGTCCGCTGTTAAAAGCATGACAATACAAAAAAATCATTACAAATAAAGCTATAATAACTTAATATATTCGTTAAATTAAATTCATTTAATTACTCGAAAATTTAAGCAACTCAATTTATGCTACACAAAATTAGTTGATTTTACAATCAAAATTCTGATTCAGTTTGCTAAAACCGCTATTAAACACTAGACCCTTGATGTTCAATCTAAAGAATGTAAATGTGAACTGCATTTCCTTGCTCAATATCTTCTCTGCACAACGGATGATGTTTATGAATGAAACTTTGTCAAATTTGCCATAAAACAACTAGCTGGACTGATCGTAACTCATACATCTGCCCGTTCTTAGCCATCCTCTCGAGCCGTGCAAAAAAATCAGACATGTCATAATGGTTAAAACAAAACTCGTACCGTGTCCCATGCCGACGTACGGGCGCGATGGCATTTTGATTTCGCCACATCTCACCGAACCGACCACTTTCACCTCACTGTACCCGGCTACGAACAAACAACAGCAGAGAAATAAATTCGTCAGCATCTCGTTGGCTACCACTCTGGCTATGACAGCGGTTAGCCGTTGTCATTGAGAATCGCCTGCCCCTGAATGGACTGGCAATGACCCAGCAAGATGCCCCAGTTACCTTGGTGATATCATGTATAACATGTCAACAAGCGATCAGACGTTTGTGCCATTTTTCGGTACGTCATATTCAGCAGCTACGATTTGAGCCATGCCTTTATATTGTTTGGTTCTGATTCGTCAATAATGATTGGCACAATTCAACGAACTCGAAATTTGACCCTCACGAGTCCACAGTGCCGCCATATATACAAGGTCACTGAGTCAGATCAGAGTCCTCTTCCATGTTTGTTCATTCGCTTCATCTGACACGCTCGCGACGAATAGTATGGCTTTTGCCTTGGAACTAAACAAAGCCTACGACAGATCAGAACTCGCTTTCAACTAAGTAGTTTCGTACTGTCAGTAGTGACAGCACTGTCTTTCTGTCGTTTAAGATTAGTCAGTGACGATGCTTTTCTACAGTTCAAATGGTGGTACTGTGAATGCACACAAAACCTAGCAAGGTAAGCTACCATAAGTAGCTTCCAGACGTAAGCATTGAACTCTGATGTTCTCCTAAGCGTTGCAAGAGACAAAATCATTGGAACACTTCAAATGACAAGAATTTAATGCAAACAAAATAGCATATTATTTTTGGGACCAGAAATTTCACTAGTCATGTTTTAGTTTTTACAGCCATGCTGGCGCGTGCCAACGAATTCCTGAAAAGCTTCAGCTTAACACTGATCAAAGGTTGTCCTTGTGATGGCTGGTTTCGAATAGCTGCACTCGCCTCCGTAATCGTCCTCCAGCTTGACCTCAGTGGTCACAGTCATCGCTGACTCTTGCTCTTCGATGCCTTTGTTTACGACGTTGCTGTTTTCATAGGTGATCCCCGGATTGTAGATCGAATCTAGACTTGACAGAAATCCTTGGCCACTGAGGCTTTCGATCATGCGAGACCTGCACTTATCTTCGTGCCAGATGCAGTACCGACGATGTATGCAGCGAATCGTACAGAATGCCGACAGCAAGCAGAAGGAGCCAGTGAACAGTGCTATTAGACTGTAGCTGAAAGCCGCCTTCACGTTCGGTTCCACCGATGCCGTCTTGATGTCCGTACAGCGACTGAAAA